ACTACCATCTGGCCCGTTCCTCTAGATTTTGCACCCTGCCTTAGGACTTCCATGACTTATCCTGGGTTTGCACCGACAGTAATTAATTTTGTATAGCCTAATTGTAATATATTTATTTATTTATTTTTTTAAAGTTGGAAAAAACCTTTTAGTTTAGCAAGTTTTTATTAAATAAATATTAAATACTATATATTTTAACAAATGTATATCAAGCATATATATACTTTTGGTATCTAATTTAAAGATTCTACACTATTTGTTATAACTATAGAGGTTATCTATTTAAACTTTTTGATTACAATATATTTGGTATAGCTTTATCTAATATAAATATAACTTACTATACTATATATAGATTTTGCAATATTACTATATTTACTAGCCACTCTAAAACTAATTTTTCTTAAAATAAACTTAATATAGTGGTATATATTCTATATATATATTTATTTGCATATTTGATACTTTCTTTTTAACTTGTATCTGTTGTGCTACTATTACCAGGTTTATATTTTAAACTATTTTTAAAATGCTACTATAACCTAATCTATATCTTAAGCTACAACCTTTATAATTAGTTTTTTATTATTTACTTCTTGCCTTTGTAAAGTTTATAACAATTTTAATATTAACAATTTTCTTTTTTACTTCTAGCTAGCAATCTAGAAAGTTTGGCTTCTCAGGTTTTAAATATCTTACAGTTACTCTTTTCTTGATATATACTTCTAGAGTATATACTTTTTTTGTTTAGTAGCAATTTAGCAGTTTAACTAGTATATTTCTCTACTTAAGAATTTGGTTATTTAGTTTTCTAATCATAGTTTCTAGCTCTAAATTTAGCTTTTTAGTATAGTCGCACTCCTCTATAGTCACCTCTTATATAATCACTAATTCTATATTATCACACAATTTATGAATTCTATTTTTTTAAATATTAAATTACCTATATATAATCACAATTCAACTATAATCACTATTATATTCTATAGTATAAACAAAATAATATATATTATATATTATTTCTCTATAAAATTACACCAAGATAAATAATATATTAGAAGTCTATATTTATAGTATACACAAACCAGAGTATTTTTAATTAGTTTTTTTTTATAGCTTTGATATAGTTATAGCTGATGTTAAAATTACTGAATATGGCTAAATTGTATATACTGTATTGTTTTACGTATAGTATTGCTATATTTATCTGTATTGCTAATCGATGATTAATACAGTAATAAGAATCTTATTAATTTATTTTATAGAAATACTGTAGTGACAGTGACTGAAAATTGTAAGTAGAATTTGTATTTATATAACTAGTTAATAGATAAAACTCTCATTTGAGGAGTGATGCATAGATATAACCTTATTTCTAGCATGAAGTCCAAAAACTAAGCTCGCATGCTTGCTAATAAATCATATCTAGAGTTCAAAACTAACTTTTTTTTTGAATTAGTGACATTCAGTATTTGAATTGTTAAATCAAAATCCAGATATCAAAAATAACAATAAAAAAGTAAAATACAGTAGCATCATAGTATGTACATACACACTGTGACAAAAACATTTGATCACCTAGAAACAAATTTATTTTATCTTTACAGAAATGTTATAGGTGGTCAAATACTTTTGTTCTCTATGTATGAGAGTATTGCAATTCAGTAGATTCAGGTTTATGTCTGAATTTAAATCAATCTTAAATAAATTGGATTTAAATCCAAAGGTTGAATCAGTTCCAAACCTTAACATTTTTATTCTTAATTGATTACCAAAAGTTAAAATATATTTTAAAATTTTGAGGCCTTGCATAGCCATAGGTTTTATCATAAGGATTCTCAACCCAAAATGATTCTTAATTCAACAATATACATATAATGATTAAGTTACTCAAAAAAGTATAAATGACATGCAATGATCAATTTGAACATGTGAACGTGATGTCTATAAACTATATACTTCGTACTTTGTACCATGTATATATGTATCTATATGACTAAAATTTTATTTATTGAATTTCTACAGTATTAGCACCTCTTCAAAATAATAGAACCTTTTTTTTTTTATTTTCATATATGTTAAGCAAAAACTGTTTTTTAAATCCTAATTAATTCTAAGAAAATAAAAAAAAAGACTATTATTTTTAGAAAGGGTACTTAGAAGAATTCAATAAACATGATTTTATTCATATAGATTAGTTTGAAAGCTATTACTACTTAAGTTTATATTTTTTTTTGCTATTGAAATAGCTGAAAAATAAATTTACTATTATTGCTTATTATATTGCATATATATATTGTATGTCAAATTGAAATTTGTATCAGTTTAAAAAAGTTTCATTAGGATTAGAGTGAACCCCTATGTAGAGTAAGGGTAGTTATTATCAGCATTATAATTATTTTGATTTGACCCAAATTTTAATTTGATGTATAACATATACATTATCTTGCGCATGATACTGCATGATAAAAAATTTTTAGATCTTTAGTATTTGTCCATGACTAAGCTGATAAGCTTATTGACTTGGTTAATTTTAATTCAGAATTTTTCATAAATTGCCAAATAATTCTGCTTTTAATTTGGCTGTATTTTATATTTATTCATCTTCTATATCTGAAATTTTATGATTAGTGTAATTATCATTATTAACCAGAATCACTATAATATATCTATGTGCTAATTTGTCTTATCACAGTATTTTTTCATAAGCCACGGATTACTCTAGATTTTGTAGATTTCATGATCTGGAAAAATTAGCTAATACACCAGAGAATTTGTAGAATTTCTGCTCTAATAATCTAATCTAACAATTATTTATATTAGAGTCTCTATATAAATTTACTCATGCTTTCTCAATTACAATAGTACTAATAGTATATTATAATAAGCGTATTTATAATTATTCAATACTAAAATAAATTAAATATCATATTAAATATTGGAATTTAATAATCGCAATACTCAAGATAAAAATATAGTTTATTATATCCTGGCATTATATCAAAATCACAAAAAATAAATGCATAGTTAAGAATGTTTTGGCTAGAGCTCGCCAAGCTCTGCAGTAAGCTTAATTGTAAAATAAGAGTAATATAAAAATCCTGAAGCTTATGCTAGGATGATTAGATTACAAAATACTAAGTTATAGCTAGCTAAACACTTGCTAACTTTAGCAGTATGCATAATATTAGTGCAAGCTTTTAATAATTATTAAAACTAAAATTCAATTGACAACTGCATCATTTAATAAAGCTATATAAATATTTATTTAATAATATGAAAAATTCTTCTAAAAAAGAATTCATTTAAAGAAATGCTATTACTCAATATAAAAGTTATAGCCATATAGAGATGAAAGTGACTATATCGATATACATAAATAAATATTTAGTTCTATTAATAGAAATATATTGAATAAATATTTATAATTAAAAACTATACCATATTATTCATCATCCTCATCATTAAAAAAAATCATCTTTATTAAGAAGATATTTATTATTAAGGTCCTTCATCATACTAAAAAAATTTACAATAGATTTTTGTTTCATTAACTTATTAACTTTCTGTTTTATTAATAGCAAATATTTCTGAAATATTGCTATGTCACTGTTATTAAAGTCATCATTTATTTGTTGTTCAACAAATGAGATAAAAATTTTTAATCCATTTAACCCTTCTAATGCTGAAATTTTTGGTGGCTCCTCATCTAAATCATCTGGATTACCTTCTTCACACTCTAACTATTCTACTATTACAATTTCAACGATCTGGATATCATCAAGTCTTTCTTCTGTAGATATTTGTACATTATTCATTTCTCTGTAGGTGTCTATTGCTTGTGTGATATTTAGATCATTTTCAGTAAGTTCAATAACCAATCTACCAATCTCACTTTCTTCATATTCTAGTGATTCTAAAAATGTATCTTGTGTAGGCTCAACTTCACTATCTAATATCGAATACGTGTTATTTCACTGACAATCACTTCACAGACAACTTAGTTCACCGACAATCAATTCACAGATAAGTTCATTTCACCAACAATTATTTCACTGATAGCTCATTTCACTGACAAGTATTTTTTATAAATTACACTAACCTTAGCTCTAATTCTAACCTGACACTAACAACAATGACCAGAATTATTTTGTCAGTGAAATGTTGTCAGTGAAATAATTGTCAGTGAAATGAACTTGTCAGTTAATTAATTGTCAGTGAACTAAGCTGTCGGTAAAGTGATTGTTGGCAAAATGCGCACCACCCCTAATATCAATGGCAAGATACCTGTTTTTTTCCAGCAATTCACCATTGTTTGCTCACAAACTTTGTCCCATAATGCTGCTACATAATAAATCACCTTCTTGATATTTAATTTATTTTTTAAAAAAAAGAAAAAAAATATTAAATAATAAAAGTTTAATGTGTATATAATTTTAATTTAAAAATTAGCTTACTTAGAATCCCAAAAATCTATTTCTCTTTCAAGTTGGTCTAATAATTGTTGAATGTATTTTTTTTGATACTTTGCTTTGAAACATTTAATGATGCCTGCATTTATAAGTTGGAGATGCGAAGTAGTAAGAGAAGATAAAAATTCAACTCGAATATTTGTAAAGTGATAGTTAGAGAAATCAAGAACTGTGTATATGCTTTGCTAGCCTGTGTCATGTTTATCTTTACTTTGTCATATAACAAAATGACCTTATTGGCTTGTTGAAGCAGTATTATTTAATCTTTAATGACCATGACCACATCTATTTTCATGATTATTTGTTCTAATAGGAGACAACTTTTCAATATCTTCAGAATCACTATTTTTAGACTCCTCATCAGATGGATTCTGTGAATTCGAACAGACATGACTTGATGCATTATCAAGCAAGAGCAAAATTTTTCAATTTTCAAGTCAGAATTGGTTATCAAGGCCTTTTAACCATTCTTCAAATATGTCACTTTGCATCTATGCCTTTGAATTAGCGCAGTATGTAACGGGTAATATAGTATGATTGATATGAGTTAATGCTCATAGTTTAATAGATGATTCAATTACTAGAGGCTTTAATTTCTCTGTTTTAGTCGCATTACAGGCTAAAAGAACAGTAATGCGAGTACAATTCTAAATTATTAAATAATAAAATTTAGATATATCGATTCAAGTAAATAAATACTTAGGCTCTTTTTTAAAAAAAAAACCTTAAAATAATTGATAGTCTGAATTATTTATTCAAAATTTCTAATAGATGAAAAGTATGAGTTAAATCTTTCTAAATACTCTATAGAAACCAAATTTTTTTATAATATGTATTTAGAGAACAGTAAGATAGAGTACATTTATAAAGGTCAAATATATATATATTTGGCCAGAGATAAGCATGCTTTTAGAGAAGTTGTGATTTAAAGAAAGTGTATTTAGAGGGATTTCACTTATTATAATTATATCTAAAGGCCCTAATTATACTCGAGAAATTAGAATGATTAGAGCAAGAAACTCTTGGGTATAATTAGAATAGATATAAAAAAAATCTGTTATAAAATTTGAACCAAAGATTTAGACTATTAAATATTCTTAATTAATAAGTTTATTTTCCTTCTATAAGCCTGCACGAGGTTGAGATGCCAAAGTTTAATTAGATGCCATATAGAACTGTTTCATCTGCATTAAATACATCACTTAATGTATATTCTTGAATAATATTTTGTAAATTTCGCTGAGATTCTGGAAGGATTTGAATTGGTGTACTGCTAGCTTCTCCATGCAACTAAAAATTTCATAAGCTATTGCGCTTTTTAAATTGTCTTACCCAACCATTAGAAAACTTTAATCCATCTTTACATAATGCAAGAGCTTTAGCGAAATAAGCAGCCTTTTCTTTGATGATAGCTTTAGTCAGAAATAATCCACTATTAATCACTTGTTCTATTCACAGTTTCATCGCTTGATATAATAAAGGGAATTTGATATTTCTATACCAAAATGTGCTTGAAGTAGTTTGATTTTCATCAACGGCCAACCATTTGTTTTTTCTTTTAAGATTTTAGAAATAGTTGAATAATCCAGACTTCGATTAGGGTCTTGGATATTAAAATGCTCAACGATTTGAATTTGTGTTTTATTAGGATTTTTAAAATGATATTGGCATATTGCATTTTTTAGGGTATCGCTAATTGCTGTATATGTTCTTTTAGTAGAAAGCTAATTAGACATTATTAAATTTTCAGTCTGAAATTCAGAAGTATTTCTATGACAGTAAATGCATATAACGAAAGAAAATTAAACTTTATATTAGTATAAGGTAATTGTAAAAGTATTTTTGAGTGTATATACAGATCTTGTTTCATCGATTGAAAAAAATGTGACAAAATATCACACTATTTGAGTTGGTTGATTTGACAATTTAACAAGATATGTAATCAACAAAAAAATTTACAGCAAGTACTTTATATAACTTTATTACTAAGGACAAGAAAACCTTATTTCAAGCTAAATTAATCTAAAAATAAGATGGCTATTACTGAATTAAAAAATCTTGCTTTTATATTTAAAGATACATCTTATCTTTTCTATTATGTCTAATGCAATATACATAATTAATTCATTGTTATTTAGAGTTCTGGAACTATATGCGGGAATATTTTTTATTCAGTTCCTTATTTGATCTAAAACATTTGATATTTTTTTATTTAATTTTCTATTCCCACCATTTTTTTTTTTATCTCTAATGAACTCATGATTGATACCTTAGCCTCTTTCATAATCTTTCTACTTTTGAATTGATTAATATTTGCATTTTTGATTTTCATATTTAATTACCTTCTTGTTTTGGTTAACAGCTGTATTCATCTTTTTAGTAACTATAGACTTAATTACTTTCTATTTTTGATTAAATCATGAACGATTAGGAAGGATGTATAAAAGACTAACTAATAAATAAATGCAATTATTCCAAGAGAAAATAAATTTGAAAATCGAAAAAATAGAAGGAGGCTTGAAATAGGTAAGAATCACATAAATTCTATTTAGTAACTATGGACTTTATTTTTGTAAACAATTAGAAAGATATGCATAAAATACTAACTAATAAATAAATCCCAAGGGGAAGTAAATTCAGAAACTAGAAAAATAGAAGGAGGCTCGAAACAGGCAAAAATCACAGAAACTATTTAGTGACTATAGACTTAATTACTTGCTATTTTTGTGAACGATTGGAGAAGTATACATAACAAACTAACTAATAAAAAATGTATATTATCTCAAGAGAAAGTAAATTCAGGAACTGGAAATATAGGAGGCAAGAATCACAGAGATTCTATTGCTACTATGATTTAATAAGTTTTATTACATAGTGATAAGGCTTTTTTAGCAGTTCAGTATTGTATATAAATTCAGAAGTAATAAGCTCTTTTAAGATAAGTGTTTTTTTTCAAAAAAAAACTTCTTACTTTCAGATTTATATTCAAAAAATTGGATACTGCATAATTCATCAAACAAATTGCTATTTATCTCGCTTCACAGTCATGTATCCAATAAGTATTGTATGAACATATTAAAATCATATTACAAATAGAGCATTATCGTGCATTGTAAGATCTGATAAATTTTAAAAAAATTTTTTACACAAGATTATACTGTGAGAATAAACTAATTTAGTTACTAATTCTAACTTATTACTGCAATAAAGTAAAGTGATGACTAAAGATTGGAACCAGATTATTTTTTATATGTTAAAACTGATTAAACCCGGTTTTATTATATAAAAAATAAAACTGGTTCTAAACTCTATTGATGATATATAGACAGCAATTGCAATAATGTCACAGGCTTAAGATTGCATTTATTTGGTGTTTGGCTAGTGTGATCTTGGGTCATAATTTCAGCATCATTCATAATCGATGTTGTGCTTACAAATTATTATTATTTAATTGTTCAATTCATTATTAGAAATAATATGTGATTGCTTTATGGTGTTATATATTTGAACATTATGAGAGTGGGACTGAAGCTAATATTGCTAGGTAACTAAAGCTAACTAATACTACTAATACCAAATACTAAACTACAACAACCTACAAAACTTATACTCTAAAATAGCAGGCTAAGAAAGAGGCGTGGATTGAATTGGTCCAAGGATTAAGATTTGGGAGTCTTGCTATAGCAACCTTGAAACAGATAAATATAAGCTTTTTTCAAGTAGTATAGTTCTTTACTTCTATATCTTAATAGTACTAATATTATACTATTTATATTATCCCTATATCTTATTTTAATTGTGCTGGGTTTATACTTTTCTTTCTCAATCATGAAGGCACTTTATGATTGTCATGTGATTAGGAGTCTCACAGGGAAACAATAGTACTTTATCAATGATGAAATCAACAGTTTAATTGTTTTTTAGTATATAAGGAGCCTGATTATTAATTAATCTATTTTAGGTTTACAACAGACATGAATCAATGATAATGATGAATGAATTTAAGATAAAGAAAACTTAATAGAGAAGTACTCTTCTATTATTACTTGTTGGAGTTTTAGAATTCTAAGTTAATTCTTTTATTGAAATAAAAAGTTGCTCTTTTATACTTTCATTTTATATAATAAAAACTAGCTCACAAGAATCTTTTTAATCTTTTGATGTTCGAGAATCTCTTGATTCTCAAGAATCTTAAGAATCTTTTGATTCATGAATGTCGATTCTAACAAGGTAATAAAAAAAAATAGAAATCGAGCATAGCCCAATCTTGGACTGTGCTACACTAGTAAATTAGACTATTACCAGTATTGAATATTACAAAAAGATTTGTCTAGCCTTGAAAAATCTAATTGCGTACTATAGTACATGTGCAATCTATTATTCTTTCTATATATCTCAATTTATTTATTATTTGAGATAAATTTAATAATTTTACTACTGCATATAACTTTGTCTAGATAGCATGCTTTAATTATATATTATTATTGTTGTTATACTGTAATATAATTAGGATTAATACTAAGTTTAGAAAGCTAAATTTTTTAGCACACATATATTTACTTCTATATATTCACATTATATAAATTTTGACTACTAGTGTGATTATATAGGGTAAACATTATATAATCACACTTCTATATAATCACTAGATTTGTGTAGGACAAACTAGGTGATTATAGAGGAGTGCGACTGTAGTACTATTAAAAATTACTATTATCTCCTAACTTGAAACTTGCTAAATAGATTTTCAATAATTCTAGTTCTCTAAATTTATTATATCAAAGCTTCTATTCGAGATAATATAACTAAGATTACAGATTTTTAAACCCAACTAATCATCATTGCCATTAACTATATTATAGACCTAATTTTTAAAATTATTTTAAGATTTAAATTCTAAACTTGCTATTTATAGATATAACAACTCCATTACTTTACTAAGTTACTATATCTCTGTAATATATTTATTATATTTAAAAAAATATAAATTTATATATTATTTATGCTAATTAATTATAATATTATTAGCATTTATATAGTAATTTTTAACAACTATATTTTTTATCTAATTCTTCTTCAGAAGTTTGGTAATTATAGTTATATAATCTTTGCTATTCACCAAGAGTGGGATTTATTTTAAAGTATTAAGATGAAGCAGAAGATATAAAGGTTAGTTAAGATTTTTTAATAATGTTCAAAATAGTTTTGTTACAGAATTTTAGTCTTTTGCCAAACTATTTAATACTTTATTGGCTAATTTAAATACTGTTAAACTTATATTTATTTAAAATAAATAAATAAGTTAAAAATTTTTTAAACTTTTATTGTTATTTTATCTATATATATCTTGGATTTTAAAAATTTATCTTTATTATTATTATTATAGATAAAGGTTGCATATGAGTTTTTAACAAGCATCTACTTAATTTTGTATTAATTTATATAAAATTTAAGTATAGAAAAATTTAAATTTTATATAATATATATTAACTTGTTTTGATAGTAGCTTAATATTACTGATTAAGGTTGCTAATGCATCTTCTTTTTCTTTTCCTGAAGGTTTTGCATAAACCTAATAAGAAGATTCACTTTTGTGACCTGTTATAGCTATTGTTATACTATAGAAACCTCTTTTTTAAATAAGACAATTATAAAAGTTCATCATTCAGAATAGTTAAAAATGCTATAATTTTTGATATTAATACTAATAATATTGCAAATATTTTTCATAAATAATTAATATAATTTTTTACCAAGTCTACAATTACAATATGATGATTTTTGTGAATTATCTAAATTAAATAATTAATAATAATAGTATAATTATATTTATAAATTATAATTAATATATAGTAAATATATAATTATCACTTTAAACATTAAAAATATATATATATATATATATATAATTATAAATTCTTATATTAAGATTTATAATTAATCCAAAAATATAAATAAAGACATTGATAGTCTTTAAAATGTTTGGAAAAAATCATACTTTAGATCATAAATGAGGTCTTGGAATTCAGAAAGATTAGGTAGTCAAGTATTACTAAACTAGTATTATCACTTTTAATACTCTTTTGATCATTCTTTTGTATATATTTGGTAAATTGTAATTCTCTATTTGAAGTAAAAACAAATTGTAATATTTTAATCAAAAAATGCTTACTACATCTATATTGAAATAATAAATAATATCAAATAAAAATACAATACTATAGACCTTGAGGACTATTAATAGAAATTAAATCATGATAAAATATTTTCTGTATTTCTTTATTTGTTAAATTATCAAGATACTTTACAATCATTTTAGATTTTTTTAACTGCTTTAATTTTCTATTCATATAGACCACAATAATCTAAATTCTTTCTTGTTTGATAAAGTTAATTGTCAATTTCTATTAGGATAATTAAGAAGATATAAACTTAATAAGTTTATACAATTAATCACAGAAGAAAGTATATATTCTGCTAAATTTTTTTTGTCTTGGCATATTTTTAAAATAAACTCTATAATTTTTGTTTCTAACTAATCCTTATTATTAATTGTATTAATTCTATAATTGTAGCCAACTGCATAATGCCAGTTTTGCATAGCTTTTTAAGTGTTTTCAGAAATAGTATCTTTTTTTGTTACAAGAATCTCTTTTTGTGATAGCTTATAATGATTAGGATTTGACTATAAAAAAAATAATAAATATTTATTATAATAGTTTTTTTTTAAAAAAAATCTCTTTAATATTAACCTTTGCTTTTGGTATTTTATTTATAAAAAATAAAAAAAATAAAAATCTTAACCTATTTATAAGCTTATGTGCTATTTGATCATTATTATCTACTGAATAAAACTGTTATTGGTTGTTATGCACTAATAACTTCCATATTTGGGGGACGTCTAAAGCAGAGGCAAATCATGTGATAAACAACCAATCAAATTATAGAATTTTGATGATCTCCGGCGAAGCAAAGCAAGAAATAAAAACAAAAAACCTGAAAAATACAAAAAACGGCAGTCTAAACCTACCCCGGGTTAGTTAATCAAAAATGTTGGGAAGGCGATTTTGCTTATATATAATTGCCAAATACCTTACCTAACTCTAATATAGGATGCCCCTAATCCTAAAGTTAATCGAAAAAATTATTAAACATGAGTTGCCTCTGCTTTAGATGTCCCCCATATTTGGCTCAGAATTTTGGAATTTAATATGCCAGACCCTAGGCCCCTGCAGGTCTCAAAGTCTGGCATATTAAATTCCAGAATTCTGGGCCAGATATATCATCGTATTCATTACTTGACATTAATTAAATAATAATAAGCTAATCACTACTTAATCAATATCAATATGCTGAATACTACAGTTATTAAATACATCTAATAACTATTAATTATTACATGAAAAGTAGTGATCCAAATAGAGACAAAATTAGAGAGTTTATCTTGCTTACTGAACTCTGTTTGGCTCTATTCGAAGCCTGAACTAATTAAAACTAGTTAAACTTGAGTTTTTGTAATCATCTGATTTTTATTATTTTATTTAAACTCTGAGTGCTCAAATCATATTTAAAATTGATTGGATGAGCAAAATGCTTAATTTGTAATTTTTGATTTTATTACTATCACTATTGTTATCAATATAGTATATAATTATAATATTATTTTTAACTTTTAATTATTTGCAATTTTGATTTTAGACTTTTAATCGTTGAAGAGGTTTCTAACTCAAATATTAAGCATGTTATATTTTGTTAACCACTAAAAGGGTCAAGTGGGACAAGTTTCTTAATTCAAAGACAAGATTATCTCAGTAAAAAAGTACTTATTATTTTTTTATTTACGCTTTTTACTTATATACTCTGACTATTTTTAATTACATTATATTTTAATTACACATATTTAACTTTAATTAATCTCTAATCACGCCATTCTCTATAAACCTTATTATAACATTTTTTATGCATTATCATTATTTTATTTTCATATTTTCTGATCTTGCGATCTGTCTCTATATCGTGATGATATCCTTTATTTTAGCATCCAAAGATGCCAAAATATACCAATATGCATATATTTATTATTATTAGTTTATATATATATTTATTATTATTATTATTATTAGCAAAAGGTAAGATTTGTGTACATGTGGCTAGTTGTATCTTCATTGTAACTATAATAACAAATGATTACTAATAAAGAGTTCCTAGACCAAAGAGGTCACCTTAATACCAAAAAAAAAAAGTGAAGTTTACTTTTGTTAGTTTATATTTATTTATATTTTCTGAACAACTTTATTATGTATTACATTATTTTGCCACACTATTAATATGGTATTGATTATGGCAAAATAGTTTTTTTTTGACTTTTGATTATTTGTAATTTTTGGTTTTAGACTTTTAATTACTATTATTATTAATATTGATTATGACAAAATTTTTTTGATTTTAATTATTACAATGATATGACAAAATTGGGTTTTTGACTTTTTTATTTTTTTTTTAATTAAAAGTTAATTGCTATAACATGTAATATAGTGAAATTTTTTTTTTACATAAATATATAGCTATTTTTTTTTCTTTTTTTTTTTAATACACTTAAACTTTATTTTATAGACAAGAAAAACACATTTGAACAATCTATTAATCCACCTGAACTTACTTCTTCAAGTTTGATATTCAAATTGAACTTGCACTAGAAGCTTTTAAAGAAGTAATTAATCATCCCCCAAAATGGTCAAGATCAGATTTCTACTGGGATGAACTTGTTGAAACTGGCAGAAAATGATATTGTAAACACTGTCCAATGGATACAGGTTTTTTTACAATCAAGTTGCACTTTAAACACAATTATCCAGATAGATAAAATGAACAAATTTTATTATCAAAATAAACATTGAACTTATAGTGCCAACAAGATTTTACAAATCAATCAATATTTTTTTAAATAGGTTGCTATGGACCAGCAGGCATTCTTCCTTGTTGAAAATAATGATTTTCAACGATTTATCAAAAAATTAAACCCACAATATTACCTTCTATCAAGACTGTTTGTCGTGTAAAACATTTTAAAAATATATAATGATAAACAAAATGAGCTTCATTATTTTTTTAATACAAGTCAGCAGCGATTTGTGATCATGACAGATGCTTAGACTTCCTGTACTAATCTTGGGTTTCTTGTCCTTACACTCCATTGGATTGATGAATCCTGGACCATGAAATGAATATTATAAGATACCCTCTATGAACAACATACCAGCAACTACATTACCTATATTATGATTGAGAAGATGTTCTGTATTTGTAAAATGACTGATGATCTTGTGGAAGATAACTCTACATTGAAAGGTCATTATCTAAGTGAAGATGAACGAGATGAAATAGGAGTGAGTATAAATAAAAATAAAAATAAAAAAAATAAAAAAAAATAAAAATTGAAATAAAAATAAAAACAAAAAAAAAATAAAAAAATAAAAAATAATTTAGTTATCTTTATTTAGATAATTGTTATGTTACTCGAGCCAATGGCTAAAGCAACCCGACCCTATCTTCGTTGACCCATCCAACGATGGGAGATTTACATTTGATATTTCCAACTATTTTGTCTATTTTACATGATGCAGTGAACAGTGAAACTCCAATAAAGAGCCAAATTGTACAATGAATGTACAAAACACTCGATGATTATTGGACTGTACTTCAAACTTCTTGTAACATATCCGTTGTATTAGATCCGAATATCAAATTATCATTGTTCAATAATGAAACTGCTGCGATTATACATGAAGCCCTGTATTATGTTTATGCGCAATACTCAAGTGAGAAAGTTTGTTCTTCAACTATTACTGATGATGCAAATGATTCTTCAAGAGATTATTTTAGGAAATATCATAATGAAAAGCCGAAAAATAATACTTACAATGTTCTAGTATCTTATGGCTATTTAAGAAAATTGTAATCCGTTAGATTTCTGGAAACAACGATCTTCTGATCCACGTTATTCCGGGCTTGTACAAATGGCACGGGACTATTTGGTCGTACAAGCCACGAGCATACCAAGCAAAGAAATGTTCTTGAAAGCCAAGAATACGATTAATCCAATACGCAATCGACTATCTGAAGAAAACATTTGTGCAAGTCTTTGCCTAAAAACTTGGTATGAAGCAGGCATAATTGATTGCATGGAAGGCCAATAAATAGTTAATGAATAAATGTTAATGCAAAAATATGCTTTATAAATAAAATGCTTGTATTTGATAAATAAATATTAATGCAAAAATATGCTTTATAAATAAAATGCCATATTCAATAAATAATACATAACAAGTTTCAAACTAACATGCTTAGCAAGCAGAATTATTAGTACATTTATATAAACAGAGTTTATAAACTAGTTTTTTTATATATGCTTTGAAACAGAGCTTAACAAGTTTTTAGGCACAAACTAACCGGTTGGAACAGGATAACATCCCTAGACAAAATGCAATAGATTAGTTAATTAATGCTTTTTAAAAATCGATCAATTAGTTAATCGATTGATCGATTAACAGATTGATCAATTAATTAATCGATTAGTTTCGATAAAAGAATCATTTATAATAAGGAATTAAAAATCAATTCTCTTTAAATATTTTACAGCTTTCGAAGAGAATTATAACTTACTCGATTTTTAGAAAACACGATCAATCAATAAATATTATACTGGACTAGTACAAATGACATGAAATTATTTGATTGTAAGGCCACAAGCATATAAGCAAACAATTATTCTCAAATGTAAAAATAAATGAAAAAAAATTGTTAAAATACAAATATTTCATAAATTTATGTATTCTATAAATAGTTAGTTTAAAATAATATGTTTGGACAAACATACTAGTACACGTGTATAAACAATTTAAAATATATTTTATTGTTAAACGATGAAAAAACATATGGAAATAGGCTCGCTATTATTAGCAGGCTCTAATCCTTACATGTATATTATACCTACTCTACTAAGGTCCTCAGCCACCAAGACAATCAAACACCTGCGGTCCCTACGACGAGGTTCAAGAACAAACTTTCACCCTCGATCGGTGAACAAACAAACCACCATAATTAGAAGCCCAAATCAATCATTTATCCAAAGATGATAACAACAAAACTCCATTCACAGACAACAAAGAAAGATCTTATACACATAGCTAAAGAAGAGGATCAGGACAGGTATATTATTCGAAAACTTTTATGGTCCTTGCAGCTGCGGAGCTTGAATGCTGACGACTAAAGATCCTTGATTATGCTGCCTTATCATTAGAGTTGGAATCAAGACCTATCCTGGAGGTAGTGCTGCGCAATTCGCTGAACTATTTCACGCGAGGTAAGACAATAGAGCCAGCCTCTCCCAAGGCAAGCAATAGCGAAATGAAAGATGACATTCTATATTCTGAAACACACACCTTATAAACAAGCCTGATAATCATTACACATCTAATGCTATCCATATAAAATCCAACATTAATCAATCATATGCAATCATTATACAGACGTTCTAATGCCAAAACCCGTTCTAACAAGAACCTTATAAAAAAAGACTATTGATTAATCATAAATAGAACAATCCATAAATAGAGAACGCAAACAACTCACTTTGTTAATGATCTTATCAATGTGTGCTTCAAGGTAGTGACCGAGACAGTGACTGATGCAGTTGAGCAGGATAATATCCTTACCTCTACTTCATTTGTAGATCCCGGTATCCTAACCTGAGCGATAAAAGTCTTAGGGGCATCCATAATTTACGTTAACAGAGACCTTTAATATAATACCATATAATATTATTTTTGTATTACGTATCTTTAAGATCTCTAAAACAATACCGATTTAACGTAAATTATGGATGCCCCCTTATAGAAGAGATATGTTTTTTTTTAATCATTATAAGTATTATAAAACTTATCAGTAATATAGTGTAATAAAAAAGTATAATAAACAATACATTTCTCCTCAATAAAGACATTGTTGAATCGCCGAATTCACAAATAATTCATTCCTATAATGACCTAATTTTCTATATTCTACTGAGTGGTGCCATAGTAGAATTATCTTATTCACCCAGTCATTTTGCACATGTGCCTTATCGCACAAATGATATCTCATCATTCCTCACTCTAAAAAATTATTAAATTATTTTAGACTTTTAAAGAATAAAATATTAATATTTTTCATTATATAAACATACCTTAAAAAAAGGAGACCTTCCAAATAATGGTTGGTTAATAGTATAATAATTACAAAACCCTGAAATATTGACGACCGAAGTCTTGAATTATCCACTCGCCAAATCTACGCTTTTTTTGGTTAGGCTGTCTGGGCTGTGGTTTGTTGGTTAGATTAGATTAGTCTGACAATCCCACTATTCCGGTCTTACAATGCAACGTACCAGTCTAAGACTAAATAGGGATATAAAGAAGAATAAGATTTGTAAGTACGTTATGTATTGTAACTTGATTATTCTAAAATAAGAATATTATTGCACAAGAAGTATGACGAACAAAAAACATCTCATTCAATTCTGAATTCTGATTATTGATCCACAAGACACAATCATTAATTGGCAGTCCCGCACAAGATTGATAGACATATAATAATTATAAATCTTTTCCTTTGATATTCCTTCAACGCTAAAGTTTTTTTTTTTTTTTGGGAAATACACATACAGTATAACTTACGATGAATATGTGGAGGAAAATTTCCAGTTCTAAACGTGATAAGATCATTAAAACTAGTCTCGCAATTATATAAAATTTCTTTGAAGTTCCACGAAATGTTAAATGCTAATATGTCGTGATTCATTAGATGATTTGTCAAATAAAGCCGGAAAATTTCCTCTACAATTTTGATTAAGAGCTCTAAAAGTAAAAAAATTATTAGCATTGAAGAAACATTCGAGTGAATAAAATTTTTAACTGTGTAAGCGATTATAGAATAGGTAAATACATTAAGTTGTTTACTGATACAGTGAAAATTCTATTGATTCCAAATTTTGGTTAATGGACCTTCGTGCTATGTGGAGAAAATCCATGTTATCAAAAACTAAATATGTTAAAACTACCTTTTCAAATATGATCCAGAATCAGATACCTTTTAAATAGTTCGGTTATCTCAGCGAGATCACAGTGGTTGCGAGATAAGTCTATTTGTCACAATACTTTCCTTTACATTTTAACACACTTCCTTAAAAAAATTTTTAATGCCTTTGATTTTCTTTTTGAACAATTTCTATAGTTTCTTCTAAAGGTCTATTGGTTGAGAACGGGCACAGCAAATACGCCGAATACGACAAAGTTCTGGTGTATTTCGTGACTGACTAAGCATACTGAAGTTAGAACTAATTTTATTGCATAAAATTTTATAATATATAGAATGTGTTACACGTGAAAGGTTGGTTTGATAACATATGTAGCACATTACATCATCTATTTTAAATTATATTTACTGTACATAACGTGAATTTTATAGGTTATCAGATATTGAAGATCAAATTATTATAATCTGTTCAATGTAGTGTAGCAGAATAGGCGAGTGGTCATTAGCCAGATGGTCAGGGTTCAATTCCACCGTGAAACAACCGCTCTTAGCCGACGGAGTAAGTGTTGGGACGCGGTACCTATGTTGGATTTCTTTTTTAAAAAAATTAGCAGTATCACGATAAAAGTTCATTTTTTAATGGCTATGAATTTCTATTGAAAAAACTTATTATTATAATAGAGCTTTCGGCCTAAAATATACATAAAAACTTTCTTCATAAGAACCTACGCAAAGATTGATTGTCGATCCTTGAATTTTATTGGCTACTTAAAGTAACGTCCTATATGAAATTATAATCGATCAAATAAAAAAATCTGTTTATATCAGATTAAATTTTTCAAAATTGAGCAAATTTCTCTAATGTTTCGTTAGCTGTTCATATGTACCAAAGTGCAAAATTAAAAATCATATTGTTTACTTAACATATCACACCATACACTTCCAAATTAAGCACCCCCTGAAAATAAGTTTTGGGTGACGATTTTTACTAATAAAAGTAAAAAATTACAATCGACTGTATAAATAAATGATAATATTTAAAAAAAATTGATCTACATTATTTGTCACTCCGAGTACTTTAGTCCACTACTATATACTGTACTAGTTGAAAGTAACAAATCTATATAATGAACAGTCAACAAAAACTTAAAGAATATTGTTCTCCATTATTTCTTGGAAAGTGATATATTTTTAATCAATATATGAAAACATGCTGTGTATTTTGCACTTATTCACGTTCAGAATGGTAAGTGTTTAAAAGGCATATTAAATTAAAGCAATTTATTAATCAAAAATCAGTATGAATGATTCAGATGGAATATACAGAATAAAAAGATTAGTGCGAATGAAATGATTTGAAGAGTATTATGTAATTATAGATAAGTATTTATGTTCTAAGTTGGTGAACTTTTACTGATTTGATTCACAAGCTGAATGGAATGATAAACGTAAATGAAATGACTTGAAGGATGTTGTGGTAAGTATTTATATTCTTGGTTAATTCCTGATTAATAAATTTTTTTATAGACAACATAAATTAATGCAAATGAAGGTTTTGGTGATGAAAAAATAAGTATTTAGGTTCATGATTTGTGAACTTGTTTAGCTGCTTTTAATTCCATTGACTAATCAAAGTTCTTTATGCACACCGGTAAATTAATGCAAATGAAATGATTTAAAGGATATTAAGCAATGAGAAATAAGTATTTATGTTCACGATTTGTGAATTTGTTTTTGTTGTTATTGATTCCACCTGTAATTAATGCGAATGAAATAATTTGAAGGCTATTGGAAAATGGGAAAATAAGTATTTATGTTCATAATTTGTGAACTTGATTTTGCTTTTTCTAATTAAATTGATTAATAAATACATACTCT